AAGAAAAAAAAAAAAAACAATAAAAGAAGGCAGGGCCGCAGGAGTACAAGAAAGACATGAAACACCATACCTATACCGGGACAGCGGATCCGATTTCCACTAAATCACTGGTAAATTCATGTTCGTAAAGCCGCCACAACCGGAAAAAATAATACACAAATCCAACGGCAGTGAAGGAAAAGTCATTCATCCATGGGAAATCAACATAGCAACCAAAAAGTCAAACGCCTACGAGTCACGCTACCAGAAATCAAATTCCTCGCACACTCATCAAACTCAGATTTCAAACCAAACACACATCACGCGCAAACACCAGAACAAATGAAAAATCAAGAATCACCCCGAACCAAACACAGATTAACATATGAATCCATCAAACAACAATCAATCAACAAAAAAAAAAAAATCCGATGAATCAACGAACAAGTACCTGATAAAATCCGACAATGAAGAAGAGACGGAAAAGGAGATCGGTCGCGTATGTGTGTGTACCTACGCCTGCAAATACAGCTACGCTACATGTGTGTTGAGATCTGGTGCACGCTGAATGATTGAATCCAAATCATCCAAATCATAGAGAGAGAGAAAGTCCGTGTGTATTTGGAGATGGTGACCGATACATACAATTATATGTATGTATGTATGTATTATATTATACAGAGAAAAATCAGATGAATTTTTCAAGGATTTGTGTGTTGCGTTTTGATAAAATATTACGTATATTTTATTTATTTATTTTTTTGTATGTATATGTGTGATGATTGAAGAGAAATTTGAACGTTTATAATGGGCTCCGTCAAAGTACTACAGAGCGAGGTGTTGATTGTCAATTTCCACATCAAGAAAATGATTAAATAAAATAAAAGGCTATAGACTACTAATTGTATAATAATGATTTTTTGGGATTAATTTGAAAATCTTGTTTTTCTTGTTTTGCTCTTTAAAATCTTGTAATCAATAGAGTTATATTTTCATTTTTCATAACAAAAATATATATATTTATACTAGTCCTTATATTATTTTATATAATTTGACATTTCAGTTTAAAATCTGTATAATTATTTTAAAAAGTATGAATGTTTAAGTAGATTATTATTATTATCATTATTATTATTATTATTATTATTATTATTATTATTATTATTATTTAATGGCTTGGTGGACAAATTAATGTTTAGGGTTAGGGTCCTTATATAAAGGACTTCCTCTAGTTTATTTTCCTTGGTTGTTTATAAATAAAAGATGAATTGATATTGTGAATTTTATCGAGAGAGTATCTCGTTTTACATGTTTTACGAGAGAGTATCTCGTTTACTCGTATTTTTCCCATTCGTTCACGTTTTCCTTACATCACACACTGTTGGGGTCGTTTTGTGTGTGTTCTTGCGTCCTTGTGTTTTTTTTGTTTTTTTGTGTGTGTTCCCGAGTATTATCCCGTTGGGGTCGATTTTAGGCGGTCTCTTGACCTGTCTTCCCATTTTATTTAATTGTTAGCTGGTTGTATTCAATTGTCGGTTGTTTGTATTTAGTTGGTGGTTGTGTCTTTTCACATTTGTGTATTTTTATTTAACTCTTTATCATTTCGACAAAAAAA